ATGTTGGTATTTACCAGTATTTCGAGTAGGGTAAATTAGACAAATTTTGTAAAAATTTTATAAGATGTTTAAAAAATAAATAAATAAATTTGAAAACTTTTAACAGCAAAATAAGAAAGAAGTGGAATTAATTAGTGTAAATAAGTGCAGTGCAAAAATGTCTAGGAAATTTCAATTTACTTTACCTCATTTTACTCCAACTCGCACACGGCCTAAATAACAGAATATATCATAAAAGAAAAGAATTATGATCAAATGCTTGATTTTCAGTATATCGAATATACTGAATTCGAAGATATTCGAATTTCGAATATCTTAATTTAAGATATATGTAATTAATATCAACCTTTCAAAACTACTTTTTTATATAATTGCTTTGTTTTTTTTAATTTTATGTTTTCATTTTTTTTTGCATTTCTTTAAAGTTTACACTACTTCAGTTAAAAAAACTCACACAATTACATTTGCAAATCGCTACAAAGATTTATTTATTTAGTTTTTTTAACGTGTGTGAATATGTGTAATTTTATTTGTATGGATTTTATTATTATAAAAACCATAATATAGAAAGCAAAAAATAATACGAAAGTTCAATAAACTTTCAATAAGTTTTGCAATGTGCTGCCGCCCCTCCAAAACCGATCTAAACGCTTACCCACGAAATCTTACCTCATCGTGTCAAAAGTTTGCTTTATCGTACCACAGCCACAGCCACAGCCACATCACAGTCACAGTCAGAGCTTATTCTTGTGTCCCCTACATACTTCCTCTTCTAAAACTTACTTTCTACGAATATGTGAATTTCGAATTCCGAATTGCGAATTTTACACCTTTCGAGCTTAAGACGAACGTACTTAACAACGCATAAAGTCAAAGCAGTAAAGCAGCAAAGCAGCAAAGCAACAAAGCAGCAAAGCAGCAAAGGTGAATGGAATGGGGAAAGGTTTTGCAATTGTTGTTGTGATTAAATTGCAAACATATTTCAAATTAAATAATTTAAATCAATCAATTAAACAGAATTTTTACTACTTTCTCTCATTATATGAATGAAGTCCCGTGTCGTCGCCGCGTACACGACGTAGTTTAAGGGATTTTAAACTAATGAATAATGTATTTACTTACTAATTTTTTTTTTTTGTAGTTAAGTAATTTTTTAAGAATAATTTATACATATAAATGTTAATGGTTTTTATTTTTTCGGTCATTAATTTTAGCAATTATAAGCATATTTTCGGTTATTGTACCTTTACGCCCGTCCATATTTTTTTTTATTAGAAATTCACGAAGTGCGTAAAAAAAGCTGCCAGCGTTCGTTCTTTTTATTTATTTTTTTTTTTTATTCCTTTCAAATTGACTACATTGACATCAGTCTTTTTGTTTGTAATAAAAACATTATATTTAATAGTTTTATTTAATAGTTTTTTATGTTATAAGTACTTTTGTGTAATTAGCTTAAATCAGCTTAACTTCAATAATTTTATTTTGTTAGAATCTTAAATAATTTTTTTTTATTACTCTTTTTGCAATTTTTTATTGCAAAATTAAATTTTTTTTTTATATTTTATATTGTGCTTTAGTTTAGTTTTGTAATTATTGTTTTTAATATATAATATTTAATAGTTTTTCTTTTGAATTATTTTTTCTATATAAATTTTCTGTATAATTTTTTCTATATAATTTTCTCTATATAATTTTTTATATAAATTTTTTTATATATATTTCTTTATATATATTTCTTTATATATATTTCTTTATATATATTCCTTATATAGTCCTTATATATATTCCTTATATACAGTCTTTATATATATTTTTATAAATTTGTATATATTAGGTTGACTATCAGTCGTATAGGGAAAAAATGTTTTTTATTCGATTTGTTATATCGTTTTCTAGTATTTAGTCGGATCCAGTCAGATACTAGTTGGATTCAGTCAGATACTAGTCAGATCAAGATAAAATTCTGAGTGCGACTGTCTTGAGACATGGTATATTTCTTTTTAACTAGAGTCCCTTTTATGAATTCGTTATTGTTTTTTCTTTATCAAAGTAATCAGTGAATTCGTGAATTTCAAAATACGAAACGAAAGCATTTTTACAGTGAACTATTGATGTATTTGTTGTTTTGAATAGCGTCCTTTATTTGCTGTGTATTCCACTGACTGTCAATTTCATTTTGGAGTAAAGTAATAGATTAATGTTTCAGCTATTTTTACAAACTATATGAAAATTTTTTTTTGTTCAGCAGAGTTAGACAGATGGACTTTTCTGTCAGATCTCAAGACCAACTAACGTACTAGTTAGTTGCTTCAAATAAGACATAATTTGCTCAGCATTACGGTACCGCTATTGACGAATAACTGCGTACTAGGAAGACAAGCTATGAGAATGGATCTACCCTAAAAATTTATGAAGTGTTATAATATGATCAACTCAATATTTCTATATTGTATGAATCAATGAGAAATCGTTACATCGTATGACAATGCGAAACAGTCTTTTGGGAAAATAGTATGATAGATTTTTTAAACTAATTTATAACTCCTCGGATAGTCATGCATTCAATAATTCAAGTATATTAAGTCTATTTTATTTTCTGTTCTTTCACTCAATTAAAATCACGAACAAATGGGAATAATTTGTTCGAACCCCACTTCTGATAATTAATTTAAAGTACTGTATTTACTGTTTATGGTACTGGGTAAGATGTCCTACGCAGTATATTTTGCATTTTCCTATTTACATTTTAATTTTTTTTTTGTTTTATTTGGTGCTTATGAAATGTAATTTACATACTAGACGTTAACTAGGCAAGAACTTATTGTCTGCCATCCACTAAATATGCTACTTGTGTGTCCTGATAGGATGTTTGTACATTGGTCAATATTTTTGTGGAGAAATCTTAAAGCATGTAGAAAATAAAATAGAAAATATAAAAGCAAAGGTTTTTAAATGTTAATCTGTTATTAAAAAATAAAAGAACTACATTGGTATATAGCTTTGTATTCGTTCTCGTACGTCTATAACCAACCTATTTATCTTTTACAAAAAAAAAAAAGATTAATTTTTTTTACTGATTTTAAACTGATATCAAAAACTGTAATGTGATAATATCTAAAATTGAACAAAAAATATTGCTCTTGCAATAGTAGCCAAAAAGATGTAAATAGGTGTGTGCAAATTACTACAGTATTTGAACTAAGCAATTAAGGGGTGGGACAGAATTTTTTTTTTGTTTTTTTGGAATAATCTTAAATTTCAAACCTTTGGGTATGCGAAACTCTATGTTGAGTTTCCTCTGATGTCTAAAAACATTTATACCATTGCACACATCCAAATATAAATGGAAACATTTTTAGAATTTCATTATTTAGGGTCTTCTTTCATTTTTTTTTATGTATATTTGTGTTCATGTAAGATTTTTTTTTTCTGTTAATATCGACTTTTATTTATTATATGTATTTAGTGAAAAATATATCTTTTTTAATTGCGATTTAAAGTATCAGAATATTTAGAAAGCTACCATTATTCTCATTACTTTAACAATTATTTAAACAACAAACTCCACACTTTTAAAACAGTAGATACAATATAATATAATATATTTATATATATTTGATAATATATTTGGTAATATATTTTATATATATGTTTTCACATGTCATCTTAAATATTTAATTAATATTCTTTACCATCTTCTTCAAGTACTTCTAAAAGTACCTGGTATTAATACTACGGATAGGCTTAAGATTAAAAGTGATTATGATCCTTTCTATTTTAAGTCTCCTTGATTTTCTTCCCTCTTCTGTTTTATCTCCAATTGCCGTATAATTTAGATAAAAGTACCAATACAAACATCCACCAAAATTTTTCAGTTATCCTTAGCTGTATTTATATATTACATAGTTTCTTTTATATTGCATATATATATGATGACATATTTATTTATATAACAAATCTATATACTTTCAAATAAAGAATTTTTTCTTTTGATTTAATTTCGTTTATTTTTTGTAAAACAAATATGAAGAAAAAAATTTAGAAAAAAATAAAATTTTAGCGTTAATGACCAAATCGTACCCACTTTCTCGGCACCTCTTCCTCCTCCACCATCACTTCTCACTAAACCTCTTCCATCTGCATACAACTCTTTCACCACCACTAGAAATCATTAATTTTTTCCTTTTTTTATCCGAACTCATTTGCATTCCAAGTTAACTGAACAAAATTAAACACGGAAAATTAAGAAAAAAGTAGTGGTTGGGGTTATACTGGAGGAAAAAAATTGGACTTCAATCTACTTGATTCCTTTTATATATACATTTTTTCTTTCCACTTTAAATTTTTCTTAAAACCATCTTAACACAGAAGCAAGTCAACGTTTATTTTATTTTTTTTTTGTGTTTTTTTTTTAAATCGCTCATATTCATTTTTTATTTTAGTCAGGAAAACTTCTAAATGTAAAAAAAAAAACAAAAACAATAAAAGGATGAAGTAAATATTTGCTTGTCCAATTGCGTCGTTAGAGTTGGTAAGAGAATCTTAACAGGCGGTTTTTGGGTGTTGAGTTTTTCGCTATATAGTGAACGAGGCAAGGCAGGCTGAGCGTTCACGTTTAATGTCTTGCCCGTAAATATATACGTTGTTGTTAAGGCTTGGCCACTAAAAGTTGTATGTAGCCTCTATCTTTTGATTTGATAGTCTGCCATTTTTTCAAAGGGTTCTTAAGTTAGTTTAGGGCAGACTTTTATTTTTAATTTTATATAATTTTCTTTTCTAGGTGCGGTGTGTTAATTAAGTTGATATTTTCTCTTCGTATTATTAAAAATGTCCCACAAAATTAAATCGAAAACGAAACAAATATTAATGTTTTACACAAACAACGAAATATTTATTTTAAAATAATTAAAAAGAAATAATTGAATTATTACCCATATGTATACACTAACGACTTTTCCAATATATATATTAATAAACTGTTATTTTTTCTATATTTTCAGGGACTTTTACGTACTGCAGAACAGTTAAAAATTAAAGGACTTTGCGAGACAGCAGAAAATACTGACGATTTGAACGACGCAGCTACAGCTACTATCACAGTATCTGAAAATATACAGCAAGCAGTTGTTGGAAATATTGTAAATGCGGTAGCGCCTGGACAACCGTCCCCAAACACTCAACAACAACAACATCAACAGCAGATTGCAGCAAATGCTGCTGTGTTATCACACGGAATCGGTAACGTTAACGCTGCAAATGCACAGCAATTAGCTGCAGCAGCTGCTAGCGGACAGTTAATAGCATCCAATACACAGCAGTTGGTACGAAAGTCCCGTGTACGAAAGCGCTCTAAGTCGCCTGACTTACAACAACATCAACATCCTCAAACTATATTAATACAAAATCAAAATCAAACTGCTATCGTAAGTCTACAACAATCTGGTAATTTTATACCAGTTTCTGGGGTTCAAACAGTATCCACAAGCGTTGGAGGACAGACACAAACAGTTATTACTGGTGACGATTCGGATTCGGACAAACCATTACAAAAAATTTGTAAAACCGAAACTTCACATACTTCACCTACATCAAATTCATCTAGTTCGGCATCCAATAATGCTGGTGGTGTAACCACAGTAACAGCACCTGGCACTGCGATCGTCACACAAATTGTAGTAGCACGAGACGGAAAAGATAAAACAATGACTAGTTTAGGCATGGGCATGGTAAGTGTTATGCATATTTTAAAAAAATAACAAGGGATGTGCATCATGATTTCTGTAAAATTTATTCGCACATTTTAGTCTAAGAATGAATTATTAATTTATAGTTTTTTTTTTCAAATAGAACGGTGGTATCCTTGGCGTTCCAATGGGATTCCTGGATTTCGCACCGGAACCGCCAGCCCCATCTGCAACACCAGTTACTGTTACTGAACACGTCGACTTATCATGTAACCCCAGCACAGACACCAGAGATTTATCAAGTGAGTTTTCGGTACTATATCGCCATCACTCATTTTTTCAGCCAAATTTTACATTACCCTGTGATGTAAAAACAAAATTTCATTTCATATAATTTTCTTATCCTTAGTCCTTCCCAGCAATTTTAAATAAATTTCTTCTATCAAACATAATATCACAAAATGATTATATGAAAAGCTTAAAAACTCTATTATTTTGTATTTTAAAACAATTCTATATATTTTTGAGTGGGCTAATTCGTTAAATTCTAATAATACACAACTTTTTAAGTTATATTTAACACTGATCAATAAATCTGTTTAAAAATGTTTACATGATATGTGATCATACAATAAATTAACAATAAATGAAAACAAATCTACATTACTTTATATTTTTATTTTAAGATCCCACCGAACCACTTGACATTGACAATCATCTAGCTCAACATATGATACAAAGGCTCGATCAATCACCGATGCATACTATTCATCATCAAACTGGCGATGAGAGCAATTCAAATTTAGTGCAACACATTAAAAGTGAAGTTATAGAAGCCAAACAACAGCATCAACAGCATCATCAATCCCAACATCAGCTGCATGCCCAGCAACTGGTTCAAAGTCATCAACATCAACAGCAAGCCCAACAGCAACACCAACAACATCAACAGCACCAACAAACTCATCAGGAAATAACTGGAGCGACTGTTATGGAAATTGATCCGAGCCAGATAAAACATGAACCGGGCATGATAATAACACCTGAGATTGTAACTATGATGAATACTGGGCATATGGGTAAGTTAAACTCACAATTTTTATTTTCTGTAGAATTTAATCGAATACCGTCAAATATCTATCGTCAGGATCATCTATTGCTTTAATTGTTCGTTTATAAGATTTGCACTGTTAGTGTCAACTCAAATATAGAATTTTGTCTATTTTTGCTTTGTTTTTATAATAAAATTAATTTTTAAAATATTTCACATAAGCTCCCATCACAAAAACTTATTAAAATGATTGGATTAGGTTAATTTGTAGTGACAGCCTTGTACACCAAGACTCAGTTAAGTACAAATAATGACCCATTGTTATATTACAGATGAAAACCTTTAGTACACCAGATCTGAATGACCACATAAAAGGTAGAAATTTTAAGCATCTATTGCAACGTTCGCCCTCTAATAAGGCGCAATATATAATATTATATATATTATTATTATTACAATATTATATATTTTGATGGTCTTTGGGGTTAAACAGTCCTCTATCCAATCTAACCTTAAACAACAAACTCTAATTAAAGTATTTTAAGGGTCTTAATAAAATTATAAACAGCATTTTTGGACGTTTTTAGAATACTAGGACGGAAAGTGTGCCGTCTTGTGGGCTGGGCGGTAGAAAATTATTTTTACTAGAGTTGTAATTACTTTAGTGTATACTGTAATTTAATGGCATTAGTTTTATCCAATACGTTCTGAAATGTTATGGGAAAATAACTATAAATAAAATTTTTTTTTTAATTCCAATTATTTTTAATTTAGAGATTAATGCACATAGTAAAAGCCTGTGTCACGTTAAATATAGACATAAAAGGGGCACTTGCCTGCTGAGACCATAATGTTGATGATATCACAAAAAAAAAAGAAAAACAGTTTGAAAAATTTGAAAATTTATATATTTAAACTTAAGCCTTTATTTATAATATTGCAGTTTGTGCTACAATTGCAATCTATTTTTGTGAGAAATATTCAAAAAAATATCAAAAATAAATTAAAAATGAAATTTTTTAAAATTTATTACTTAAATAAGAAAATTTTCAAATTATGCCATTTTTCTAATTCTATTGAAATTAATCTTCGAAAAATGTTAATTCCAATAAAATAACTATTCAATAAAAGTCAATCTTTCGAAAAATCAAGTATTATAATTTTATTAATATAGGACTTTTGTTTACAATTATTTAGATATGTATAATTCAGATACAAGTGAGGATTCTATGATGATTGCAAACGGTTCACCAAATGATCAGAATGAGCCACATTACACCAATTTGGACCAACAACATGGCGATAACAAAGGTCAGTTTAATGGTCCCAAAACTTGGACACAAGAAGATATGAATTCTGCTTTAGATGCCCTTAAAAACCAAAATATGAGCCTGACGAAGGCTTCGGTTACATATGGCATTCCGTCTACAACACTTTGGCAACGTGCCCATCGAATGGGCATTGAAACGCCAAAAAAAGAAGGCGGAACCAAATCATGGAATGAAGATTCTCTTAATAACGCACTGGAAGCATTACGCTCTGGTCAAATATCAGCTAATAAAGCATCAAAAGCCTTTGGCATACCTTCATCGACACTGTATAAGATTGCACGTCGTGAAGGTATACGTTTAGCTGCACCATTTAATGCTGCGCCAACTACATGGACGCCTGAAGATTTGGAAAGAGCATTAGAGGCAATAAGAGCTGGTCATACATCTGTCCAGAAAGCTAGTGCTGAATTTGGTATACCTACAGGTAAGCAAACATATAAATTGCTCGGAAAGTTTGGGAAATTAAATTATTATTTACATATATTGTACACATGTCTACATATTATTGTATGTTGGATTTTTTAAAGAAACTAAATATTTAATGTAAATAACACTACTTAAAGTAAGAGAAATTAAACTATATAAATTTAGTAAAACTTTATGTATAGAACTACTTATCTAAATTATAAAAGAGTTGAAAAAATTATTAATATCAAAATTGTGTAATTTACTTTTTGAAATGGTTTGACTGTTGTTCGACTTATATATCTACTTCGTATCTAAACGTTAAAGGAACTTTGTATGGTCGTTGCAAACGTGAGGGTATAGAATTATCCAGATCAAATCCAACGCCATGGTCGGAGGATGCAATGAACGAAGCTTTAAATTCAGTACGGTAAGTTTATTTGAAATATATATATATAGAAATACATATTAGTAAGTACTGATCTAATTTAAATTCACATTAAATTACAGGGTTGGTCAAATGTCTATAAATCAGGCAGCAATACATTATAATCTGCCCTATAGTTCTTTGTATGGCCGATTCAAGCGCGGTAAATACGATGTTTCAAACACTAGTGGGTCCTCATTAAATAATACATCTGGAAATACATCAGGAAGCATTGAAATCATCGAGCATAGTCAAGAGAATTCGGTAAGTGTTGTTAGTCGCAAAAGCTTATATATTTAAATCGCATGAGCATGCGCACTAACCAAAAATGCTATTATTTGTACCACTACGCTGACGAATGCGTCAACATTTAATTTATGAAGTTACATATGTTTCAGCAACAATTCCAGTACAGTCCATCTCCCCATCAGCACAGCACACCACAACAGCCACAAACACCTCAGCATCTGCAACATGTTGTACACATCACCCAACAGCAACATCATCAGCAACATGGCCAACATATCCAGCAACAAGATGTTGTGACATCGAGTAGCCAAGTGCCGCACTCAAGCGCTGGTGCTGTACAACAGCAACAAATTCAGCAAATTTATCACCACCATAGCACCCCCGAAAGAAGTTGAGAATCAATACAATCTTCATCTAGCCACAACTCAGAGAACAGTAACAGCAATAACATCAGCCTAGCAAGTAAAAGAAAGAAAATAACAAAGAATAAACGTTGAGTTGAAATAATAAACTAAAAATAGAATTAAAAATAACCTTTGATTATTAAGAATTAAAAAAAACATTAATAATAATAATAAAGATGGACTAGACTGGGTATCGGTAAAGAAAACTGAAATAACAAGATAATATACTATATAAAATAATTGAATTGGGTGGGAATCGAAATAGAAAAGAAAGCTATAAAACTAAATATTGGCAACAAAAAACATTAAAAAAAATATGAAAAGAAAATTTTTTTTAAATATATAAACTAATAGTGTATATTAGAGCTAAGATAAATAATTCGCAAATATGTTCATTTTCATATATATTTTTATTTTTTATTTTTAACTTTTTTTTTTTTGTATTAAAAATACAAATTTAATTAGTTTCAATTAATATCTTTGAAACTAAACATACTTTTTTCATATTGACTTATATATTAGAAGGTTTGACAGTCCTTTTTAAATATTTTTAAATATGTTTATACTTATATAAGATACGTCAATAAATTATTTACTGTTTTCTCGTTGATACTTTCACTTGTTGATCTAAGTTTTTTAAATTGTTTTAAGCTTTACTTTTCCAAATGGGGTATATAGAAAAATTCTACTTAAAAAAGTAAAAAAAAAAAATAAACTATATGTATTTTTGATAAATTAATAAATTCAAAATATTTATAAAATTCTAAAATTTAAAATATTCTTAAATTAAATTTAAAATACTAAAGAGAAAACTAAACAGCTAAACTAATATAAATAGTTTTTTTTCGTAGTTTTAGATTTAAAATATTTTATAATCAAAGAAAAAAATGATTAATTTCAAGTTTTTTTTTAATATATGAATAACTAATTAAATTTTAAAAAAAATGTGAAAACTGTTACACACATAAACACAATAAATAATAATTGATTTACGAAAAATAATACAAAAATATGGAATAAAAATGCATTAAATAATATTTTTTATGATTTTGTATATATATGCAAATCTGTTTCTGAATTGTACTCTGAATTTATTTTTAAACGGATAAATAAAAGTTTTGCATAAACTTTTCGGTTCTGTTTTTTAACAATCAATAACAGATATCCTTAAATATATCATCAAAATGTAAAATGAGAAACTAAATTAGAATACGAAAAACATAAAATTTAATATATTAGCTACTCATAATTAATATTATAATAAAATTTTTAATCACAAAAAAAAACATGTATTAAATATAATCCTAAATAGTATATAGCATATATTAAAATTATAACATATTTATAAATAATTTATATATGTTATTATCTAATGTACATAAAATATAATTATATAAATAACAGTTGTTTATTTATATATATGACAATGTAGAGAGTTTTTTAACTTTATGTACTGTTATATATATGAATTATATACACAATTTATTATTCATTATAAATAAACTTCAAATAATTTAATGTGAATAATTTTGTTATGAGTTTTATATGTAATTCTTAAATATATACATACATATACATATAAATAATTTATGTGAATTTTAATAAAAATAATACATAATTTTACATATGCACATAAGAATGTGTAACGTATGATATATATACATATATATGTTTGAATTATATATAAATATAATATGTATTACATATTTTCCCAAATGAATTATTATATTAGTTTGATAAGTTAATTACTTTTCATTAATAACTTTTTGTTATATAAAATAGTAAAGTGAGGATTTATTTAATTTGTAATAATAATTAATGTAAGAAATATAACAAAAATATTTCTATTAAAACTCAAAATTATTAAAGTCTTTCTAATATGCAGAATAACAGAAAAATTTAGAAATCGAAAAGAAAAGATATCGTTAATATCTAATATCAAATTGTTAAAGCTATTTTACATCCATCTTCCATTAGGATATATACTTTTTAATGATTTTCAATCGATTAATGATTTGTAATTTTTTATATTGAAAATTGGTTCTTCCTATTTTAATATAAATATTAAAGCGTTTAAAAGTTTTTTGTTTTTGTATGAAATTTTAGATAATTTCTTAATTCAAGTGGGTATTTTTCAAAAATTTAAATTTGTTAAGAAAATTAACGAATATTCCCTAGTCAGTTATACCATATTTATGCGTAGAACAGGAAGACTCGTTCCTATAAAAACATTTTATTTTAATGAGAAAACATGCAATTAGAAAACCGATTTAAAATGACTGATTTTTTAGTGGGGATTTTAGTATGTATATGCAAACACACTTATGGTTTAAATGGTTTAAAGATTATAAAATTTCAGTAAATTGAAATTTTAGAATACCTTAAACAATTGCTTTGTAAATACTTCAATTTAATAATATATTTTAAAATTTATTTTGAATTATTTTTGTTATATACTCTATTATAATTATAAAATTATTTCCTGACACTAGAATTTAAACTTAATATATCATATTGCAGTTGGGTAAGAAACTTAATTTTCAAAGCGATTATTTTAGAAAGTAATAGCTTATATTAAGTAAAACTGCAATAGAAATTAGTTTTCAATTGCTTGTAAAAATTATAAAAATTTCATGAAATAGTTTAAGACAAAATTTCTAAACTGTTTCAATAGTTTTTGACGATTATCGTCTTTGAGTTCAACAGAGAATTTTAGAATTTTGTCTATATTAAAAATCTGATGTCATTAAACCGAAAGAATATTAAATTATTTGTATAAACTACAAAATATATTCAATAACAGAGTTTTTTAAAATTATTTTTTAAGTTAAAAATAGTTCTCAAATACGAGGAGTTTTTGCTTAGTTAGTTTCTTAAAATACTTGTGAGAGTAAAGTCTACAAGTATTTAAAAAACCATTCATTATTATTTATATTCGTTGTATAAAATGAATTTATAAATTTTGATTTCTAAACTTAAATGAGACACTTTTCAGTTAAATTTCTTGAATCGAAGCTGTCTTGGTTTCAATTCTGAAAATTTTTTATTAACCCAAAAGAATTTTTCAAGGTTTTTAAACTTAAATGATGGTTCCTTTGGTAAGAAATTATTGTCTCCTATGGTCAGCGAATTTGTGGTTATTAAACTCATAAAAATTTACAACGATATAAACAATATAATTTAATACACAAATTTTGTGTTAATTATATTTTCAATTTCAATAATTGTTAAATCATTGAATTTTAGTTAAAACTACATGGACTTCTGTTTATAAGATAAAGTTTTGTAGTTTTTGTGAAATTCAATTTTAACATTTTTTGAAATTTGGAAAAACAAACAACCAATTTAGCCAATTTTAAATATAAAAATTTATATTTAAATGAATCTTCAAAATCGATTTTGCACATAAAATTATTTAAAACAAAACGAAATATTTAACAGTTAACACATTTGTTTTAGAATAATGTAAACTTTATTTATTTTTGTTTGTTAAAAATATTATACACAAAAAAGTTAAAATTTTTTAATCATATACGAATCAGTTTCTCTTTTTTAGTTATCATATATATATATTGAAATTAAAAATAAGTGAAATTCAAATTCAAAAAAAAAAAAAACAAAAACTATATATAATATATTTTAGCGTACAAGCGTAGGACGTATACAAAAATAAAAATATCAGTATATATTAGTAATATGATTAAAAACAATTTAAATATAAAAAATGTAATCAATATTTAGGTATAGTCCTTTCCTGATTTATTTAAAAATAAACATATACATACATGTATTTATATATAAAATACTTTAAATCTAATCTATATTTAAACTTTAAGTTAAACTTAGAGTATAAAAGCTAAATAGAATTAAAAATGCATACCTACGATTATTACAATAAAAAAAATTTAAAAATATTGATTTTGTAATAATTTTAATTTGTTATGTATGGTCAAAAACTTAGTAATGCAGATAAAATTTTAATGCAAAATAAAACATAATTACTAAATAAACACCAAAGTTTTTTTATTGGATTTTAAATAGCATTATTTATATAAACGTCAAAAATGTAGTTCGGTAGCTAAACTCCGACCTAAAAGCTCGTCACATAAAATGTTGACAAGATAACAATACACATATTATCCACAAATGTCAAACGTGGATTAACGTCCTCCAAAGAGATGTAGTATTCTCTTTCAGACAACGGTTACACGTTAACAATAGGAACAATTCTCAATAGGAACCCGCTCAATATCTTTCGGGAAGAATGACGCCTTTCATATGCAGAAGGAACTGAGATCACAATATAGCCATGTGTTAAACAGTTGTCACGCATAAGTTTATCAATTCCCAATGTGTGCTCTAACTGCAACTGTACCTCCATGATAATGTCCATATGTTTTCCTGCCCCGACTTACACACTAACACACTAACTTGAGTCCAATCGATCTTTGAAACCCCTCCATTGAAGTGGTCAGGTTTCTCCGCCTTGAGCATGGTTGACTTTAATTTAAATTCCTCCTATTTACATCCATGTAAATGTCATGTAATTTCTTTTATGTTATCAGCTTTATAGATCTCTGCGGACTACAAAAACAATAATTAGACACTTAACAATGGGTTAGGATATGAAGTATAATATGGTGCTGTATGAAGTAAGGATGAGGAAATAGAGATAGGCATGTTCAACATTCTGGATGTACGTATTTTAGTTTAGTTTTGATAACTGGAGGTACTAACATATTATCTCCTAAAAAATATAGTTTACAAAGATGATAGCATTTTTAAATATACTATATCCTATTAAAAGCATTCAAAAAATATTCATGAAGTATGGACGTTTTTAAAGTACAATACTGTATCTATATTAGTAATAATTATAATTGTTAGTTACATACCAATTAATATATGTACATTCATACATAGTTTGTATGAATTTCTTTGCAGAACATGGGAAGCAAATAGTAGCTTTACATATTTATCATTAACTCAGTTGATAAATTACTAGTTTCGATTTCGAATTTTGAAACATTTAAAATATTGGTTTCGATTACGAATATTTTAGATTCACTAGATCGAATTATAATTAGAATATTATATATATTCTGATTTTTTTGTACTTTTTTTTATTAAATATTTCAATTTTTGCCAACAATCATCCGTTTCTACAATAAAAACTTTTCTTAATGATCGTATTTGAAGTGTATAATATCGAACCGTCTCTGTTACTAGACATATGCATTCTCATTGCAACACCGAAATCCTTCCGCTCATTGGCTTTAGTTATTCTTCTGCTTTGGGACTGTTGAACACCATTTTTTCATTTATGCATGATCTTGTCCAGGTTTTTTTTGGGCGGCCACTTCCTCTGCTACCCTGAGGGTTGTAATTCAAAGTTTGCTGTCATATTTCAGCACGGTACCTTATTTGATTAGTTCTAACAACCCATTATCGGCTTTCAGTTTGACACAGACTCATCTTTATGCGCATTTGCTGCAAATGCGCATTCTCTAGTCTCATAAATCAAATCCGGTCAATGCTGCCTCAAGTTGATCACTCTAACGGAGACATGATTTCACCTACCTTCTTCCAGGACCAGTCTCTTCGAACTTGTTTTTCAGTAAGGCATCGAAATCTTGTACAGCTTGTGATTTATACTGACGCGGTTTACGTAGAGAACCACAGATCTTATGAATAACTTTTCTCTTAAAAATTTCCAGAGCAACTACATCATTCTGTGATAGCGTCCACAGAAGCACAGGTCGGTAGAGCTTAAATCAATACATCATAAAAATAAAACAGGAACCAAAAAAAAGACCTATGAGCACAGATAAGAGTATTGATTTTTTTGTAGTCCACAAATTATAGTTAATAAAAATTCCATAAATGTAACCTAGTCCACTAGGTATTAAGAGTCTTGCTCATAACTTTCTCCCTAATTATTGGAATGAAATTTCCACATTGCTGAGGAAATCTTTTCCATTCATTCTTAAGAGGAGGTTTTAGTGGGTTCAGGTCTCACACTGTGGCTTTTGATACTTTCTATTTGTTAACTTAATTTATTGTGATAGTAGCCGTAATTTTTTCTCGTAGAGTAACAAAAAAATACAACATAAGAAAGAAAACATGTGAAAGAAAACAACAACGCTCTTAAAATCTTCAGAGTAGTGTTTTTACGTCTCACGTTTTAGTGCGGCCAAATTCAAAAATCAGTCTATTGTGAATGTTCACTGGAAATATGTTACAAAAATCCAGTCATCCGTTAAAATCACATGAGCATATCATTTACTGATAAATTCAAATACATAACTCGCACATGTCCTTAATACTGTGTTTTAACAAATCTACGAGAAAAAATTATGGCTAGTGTAAAAGTATTGTCAACAGACTTAAATGAACAAATATTTCTTAAAATTATAACATCCCTGGGCTTGAACATAACATCTGTTTGTCAGTTGAGTTTATTTACATTTATAAAGTTTCAGTCCCCTACGACTGTAAACTTAAAAGTTGTTTAATGATATACGTGTACATGAAATATTAGTTAAAACTAAAAGTAGTGGAAAATAAAAAGAATGGATATATCTGCACTATCAGATGATAATTTTAATCCAGCTGAATGGATAAATGCGAACTATAAGAAATATGTAGAGGAGCACAAAAAATCGGAGGACTGTGACGATACTCTCACATTCATTAACAGTTCAGTTTCAAAGCTTCAACTTTATGTGCAGCAAGTCAACTATGCTGTGGAAGATACCAGCCAGCAAATAGTTCAGAGTATGCCACGCATAGCAAAGGATGCAAGAAATTTGCACAACGATGTGAATGAATTACAGCAACGGATGCATGCCATGAGGCAGGAAATGACTGCAGTGCAAGAGGAGACTGGTGATGTTATGAGTGTTTTGGAAAAACTCAACAATCTCCAAACAAAACTGCAATCTGCGAAAGAGTCTTTGCAGGAATCTGACGGTTGGGGTAATTTGCTAAACGAGCTGGAAGATTGTTTTGAACGCAACGATTTAAATGTAATTTCATATTCTAAGTCGACAAACAATTATACTAATACATATATATATTTTTAGGGTGTTTGCGAAAGATTAGTGGCTTTACAAAAGTCACTACAAGCACAGGAACAATTACCAGGACACGCTGAACGTCAATCACATGTAGAGGACTTTAAAAACCGCTTAGAGGCACTAGCTTCTCCAAATGTAGTACAGTGCTTCGCAGAGGCAAATGTGAATCAGGCTAAAACGTATGTGGACATATTTGTTGCAATAGAACGTCTGCCACAATTGCTGCAGTACTACCGTGCTGTGCATAAAAGTGCAATGCAGCAACAATGGAAACAGGCAATTGAATTACAAGCTACTGAAATATCCCCACAGCAGCATCATTTCCTTACATATTTTTACAACGAACTTTTAGAACATTCCCAGCGACAAATCAAATGGTGCGCTCAAGTTTTCACCGATGATGTTGGACTTATTCAACCATTTGTTGTGGTTGCCGAGCTTTTGCCTTCACTACAGCCAAGTCGGGACCAACACATTCTTCAGTTGCTTAAAACTTCAAACGATCGCTTGGAGCTACTTGAACAGTTTGCTCAAGCAAATCGTAATTTCGTTTTACAACTCAACGCAACCTTGAAACAGTGCAATCTAACACTAACCAAAGATTTGACATTGCAAGTAGGTGAATCAGTGTATGAGTACTTCCACAAGTTCATTCAACAGTATCCAAGAATCGAAGAAACTCAACTGTCCACACAAATAGATAAATTAATTACTAATCAAGCATCTGCTGGGGAATCTGTACGTCATTTGGAGAATAGCACTCGTAAAGTGTTCGACTGGTTAACAGAAGCCTTTGAACGTTGTGCGCAAATAACAAATGATTTAGCACTTTGTAAATTGATTGGCTTGTTAGGTGGCATCTTTAAAAGAGTTTTGGAAAATTTTTCAAAAACGCAGCGTCAAATTAGCTTGACTATTGGCACTGGAGGAAATGAAAGTTGGTCAATATTGCAGTACACAATGTCACTGTTGCAATGTTTAGCAGATTTTCAATACAAATTGAATAAATTTGAAAATATTTTGCATGAACGTATGTCTGATTTGGCGGATAAATTGAATAATTCCTCACATACTAAAATAATTGATCTTTATGCTACGTACGATCGTGGTGAACAAACCCGTTTGTTAAATGCGATAAATGAATATCAGCAGAATCGTGTCGAAGTTGCAAACTCTCAAATCCACTCCCTTGGCATCTTCTCGCAGGTTTACGATTCGTTAAAAACCCACTTTATTGAAGCACATGACATAACGTTAAACATCCTATTACAACCCATTGATGTGCATTTATCTAACATACAGCCACCGACAGGTGATGCAAACACACATTCCCCTATTGCAACTGCGGATATGCCTTCGTTTAGTTTTGCGCCACAAGAGTGCATTACACAAATAGGACAATATTTGCTCACCTTACCACAGCATCTGGAACCATTATTGCTTTCTCCATCCTCGTTGCTGAAACAAGCTCTTGAAATGTGTAATGTTAAGTACACTCAAAGTATACCATGTGCGGATATATTATTGTCCTTAGTGGTGGAACAATGCTGTATAATGTATCAAACACAAATATTGCAAATTAAATCAATTAATAGCACCGCTGCGAAGCAATTATCGGTGGATATTGAGTATCTATCCAATGTTATTGAAGAATTAGGACTCAATATAAATCAACAACTTTCACAAATATTGACTCTGCTTAAGGCAACACCAGAAAACTATAGGACTTCCAGCAGTGGCTGTGAACCACGTCTAGTCTCAGCAATTCGACAAATGCGCAATATTATTTCGACTCAGTAATATTTTTAAAATCACGCGAAAGTATATACCATATATAAAATATATTATTAATATATAGTCAAATAAAATTTGAAAACAATAAATTAGAGACATAAAAATTTTGGAATTGAAACCAAAACAATTGATTATAAACAAGAACCTTTTGATCCTTTCTTAGTGTTTTTTTTAATGTAATCTCAGAGTTAAACTGGGATATGGACATAATCTCTGACGAGATATTGCATGATGATCAAAGTAATATTTTATATTGAAGAGAGGGTCATGGAAGAATTGACCAACAAAATGTGATGAACCTGGTACATCTTTTACAACACGAATATTAATATCTTTTTATCTGTTTATTCTTTAGTAAAATTGACCTAGAAACATAGATATTTAAGCATATTTTAGCTATTATTTTAGGGACTTATTTTGATTCTCCTTAGCTGCTTCCATACCAAATCCTGACTACGTCCATAACTCTGAGGGTTATATTTGGACATTAAAATTAGAGTAAAAAGTTAACAAATCCTTTACTAACGATTGCTTGTTTGTACAATATAATAAAAAAAAATTATAGTTAAAATTTTTATTGAGTAGGAACTGGAAGATTTTGTAAAATCCAGGAGCATCTTAATACGGTATATGTGTATTATTGTATATACAATATTGATTTGATCCAGATCACTATAGATTTCGCTATTTCTACTTTCTTGGATGAAGTCCATCAAATGAAGTTGCCAATTAGAAAATTTACTAAACGCAAAGAAAGTTACAAAATTAAATATTTGAAAAATGGCAAGACACCTAGCGATGATCTCATAACTTCAGGAATTCTTGAAAGACTGATAAAGTAATTATCTTAATTACTCATCTTTTCTATGCATCTTTGATTTTTTTTTTATTTATTATTAACGATTCTTCAAATAAAGACAAAAATCGTTTTAATATTGCACCTAGTACAAATAACAAAAAAAAAGGTACTAATAAGCAATTTTATTTGAATATTTAATGTAAAAAAAAAAATGAAGCTATTTTGCTACTCGCTGTCCATTAAGTCTGCCACTGTTTTCCTTTTTAGCCGTCTAGATATTGCAACCACCTGGAGAAGACTGGATGCTGTAACGTTGATATGTGTTTTCAATCGCTGTTTTTGAGCAATGGCACACCTTTTTGCCACGACGTCGACTGTTGGTATGTCAAGGTCACGGTGGAGATCACTGTTTCTAATGTAATATGGAGCATTTACGATGTATCGTAGTACTTTATTTTGAAAGCGCTGGATAGTTGCAATGTATTTCTTGCTGGCACAGCCCCAGAATTGTATGCCATAACTCCAAGCCGGCTTTAGTATTTGATTGTAGACCATTAGTTTGTTGTGGATTGCCAGTTTAGAGCGCCTGCCTATGAGGTGGTAAAATTTCTTTAGTTTTAGGTCAAGCTCTTCTCGTTTTTTCTTAACGTCGTTTCTTCTCGTCAAGCGTAATGCCCAGATATTTGGCTTCGTTGGCGTGTGGAATTTTTGTGGCATCGATATGAATTGGAATATGGTTATAATTTCTCAATGAGAAGACTATATGTACTGATTTTTCCTTATTGAGCTTGATTCTCCATTTTTTTGCCCATGAAGCAATTTGATTGACTGTGTGTTGCAAATTAGCCGTCGCGTCTTCTATATTGTTTTCGATTGCTAGAACCGCAGTATCGTCTGCAAACGTTGCTGTAACTAGTTGGTTTGCAGAGGGTAAGTCGTGTGTATACAGGAGATATAGAATGGGCCCAAGAATGCTCCCCTGCGGGACGCCTGCGCTAATCTTCTTTAGTGCTGAATGTGCATCTTCATATTTAACACTGAAGTACCTGTCGTTTAGATACGATGATAGCAGCTTACAGTATTGTATAGGCAATAATGATTTAAGTTTATGGAGTAATCCTTCATGCCAAACCTTATCGAAGGCTTGTGATACATCTAAGAACACGGCACAACACACTTTCTTCTCTTGCATCGCCGATTCAATGGCATTTACGACTACATGTATTTGGTCGATGGTTGAATGGTTTTTTCTGAAGCCGAATTGATGATCCGGAATTAAGCGTCTTCTCTCAATTATTGGTGATAAACGCGCTAGTAGTAGTTTTTCAAAAAGCTTCGATAAGGTTGGCAATAGAGATATTGGCCTATATGAGGATACATCATTGGGAGACTTTCCTGGTTTGGGTATCATAATTACCTCAGCGAATTTCCAAAAAATGGGTACATGTTTCAAACGGAGGCACGAATTAATTAAATCGCATAGGTAGATGATGCAGTTATTGGGTAAGTTCCGAAGAACTTCAGCCGTTATTAAGTCAAAATCAGGAGATTTTTTGAGTTTCATTGTCAAAATTTGTTTTCTCACTTCTTCCGTAGTGACTGGAACAATTGCAGCGTCGCCTTCGGGCCAATTTGTACTTGACCCAATAACATCTTGGCCTTCATTTGGACTGAAGGTTTTCTCTAGGTGTTCAGCAAACAGGTTCGCCTTTTGAGAATTTGTTTTAGCCCAGTGAGTTTCGTTTATTTTTACTGGGGTAGACTGCTGCATTGGTCTGTTAAATGATTTAGCAGCTTTCCACAAAGAATATTCATTTTTTTTGTCTGCCGTGAGGCCCATCAGAAAACTATTAAAGGTATTATTTTTGTATGATTTGATGGCTGTGCGTAACTTTTTAGTTGCTCGGTTTAGTTGCGATTTAATTAACGGACATCTTGTTGCTTGCCAACGTTTTCGCAATTTTCGCTTCTCCGTAATCTTTTTTGTGATGAAGGGTGGGTATTTTTTACCATGTAGAGTTTGGAGTTTTGGTGTTGGTGTACTGTTCCACGCTGCCATCTGCAATTGCTGAGTGAAATGAAGTACTGCGTCATCTAGTTGCTCGCTGTTAACAATATGATCAAACTTGTGCAAATGTACAAGCTGAAGCTGAAAATATTTCCAGTCGGTAAATTTATTTGCTAACTTGAGTGTGTTCTGGTTTATTGTTGGATTTTGTGAAACTATCAGCAGCACTGGTGAGTGGTCAGAGCTAAAGTCGAAGCCTTCTGAGATGGTTAGGTGAGATGCTGGAATATTTTTGTAGACAAAGAAGTCTATTAGGTCTGGAACTTTGCTAGTATCCGACGGCCAGTACGTTGGTTTACCAATTGAAATTGAATTACAAGCTGCGAGTTGCATGGCTTTGTACATTTCTTTTCCTTTGGTTGTATTAAGTCTTGAGCCCCAAAACGTATTTTTTGCATTGAAGTCTCCTTCAATTATAAAACGGCCTTGAAACCGGTTAAAGAGAGATAAGTAATCTGCGCACTTCAACTGATGCCTGGGAGGACTATATAATGCAGTTACGACCAGCGGCTGATTAAAGGTTTCCACGGAAACAGAAGTAGCTTGAAATTCGATTGTGCTATATTGTTCTAGTAAGTGATGTTTTATCGAGTTTCTAATTATGACAGCGCTGCCACCCCTAGCGCAATTATCAGGATGTATGGTATGGTATAGAATATAGTTTTTAAACGTTATGTGCGATTGCTTAGTAAAATGAGCTTCAGCGATTAAACCAATATCAATGTTTTCGCTATTTAATACGACTTCGAGTTCATTTTTATGTTTTGTTAAGCCATTCGCATTCCATAAGAATAGTTTCAAACGATTAGTCATAATCTAAAAATTGCATATTGTGCTCTAGCACGCTTAGACGTTGTTCGAGCGTTTTAAATACCTCTTCTTGTAGATTAAGTTTTGTTAAGATAATTGACAACGCGTTGTTGCTTTGTGACTCAGTACTTTGAATGGGTCCTTTACAGTTTGGGCGTAAGTGACTGTTCTAACACTAGTAGGTCCAGTAATTTTGGATTTACTTTTTGTTACAGCAACTTGATTATTTTCGTCAGCCTTAGTTTTGTCAGCTTTGTTTTTTAATTTTATTTTTTGTAATTCTTTAGCGACTATACAACCACGATAGTTCGCTGGATGCGGTTCGCCACAGTTGCAGCATTTAGGCTTATCGGACACTGTTTTTTGGCACTCCGAAGTTAAATGTTTGCCGGCGCATTTAACACAACGTGGAGGTTTTCCACAGAAATTTTTTGTGTGACCGAACGATTGACATTTTTTGCATTGAGGAATTAAGTTTGACGGTTTGATGGGTTCAATCTTTACAATTGTGTTAAGAATACTTTTTATCTCATAGATTTTCTTCACATCTTCGGTTGAGTCAAATGACAAAAGGAACATATAAAGCGGTTCTTTAGTCTTCCATTTGAGTTTGTTTATCGCACCGATTGCTTTTAAACCTTGGTTGTTTAAGTCATTTATAATCGATTCTTAATCACGAATGGTGAAGATTTTTTACAATAACTTTTATTGGCCTAGTTTGCTTGTCTTCGTAGCTGAACCAGGAAATATTTTCGTGACTTAATAGTTTTGTGACAGATCTATAGTCAAAAGAGTCAAAAATTGATACTCTATATGAACCATTATTTATAAGTCTCACAAAAAACTTGTTTTTTATAGTTGCAATAAGTTGGGCATGTAATTTTTTAAAATCATTTATGCCATTGACAGTAGCGAGGCGTCAGTTTTTTGGCAAGGTGTTCACAATTTAATCAAAACAGAATTCCCCCTACTCCTGAATTTGTCTTTCCACAAGCAAATAGCCTACAAGACCAACAAAACAATTTATTTAAATATTCGCAGCCTGTGATCCACTGGTTTTTATTTACCATAAAGCTGTAGCTGTAGAAAAACAGCGACTTACCACAGTGTTTCGACATTTTTACATCAGGTATGAAATTCTTCATATTTGGAGTTGGTCTATTCATTTATGAATTAAAATCTTTTTTTCAGAATATCGTTTAAAAAAAGATATTTGAATCAAATCTTTAATCACATATTTATCTAAATATTATTTTTCACTTCAACATTTCTTTAATCTCTTTCTTTACTTTTACCATTTTCTAGTGATAAAATTGCAATAATGACTTTGTTTTGATTTATTTCCAACCTCTATATAAGAGTAAGAAAC